GCCCTGGGCTCCCGCCCCCTAGCTCACCTGGGGCCCCTCAATCCCGACTCGCAGCCTGCTGCTGTCCCAGCCTTGGGATCCCCCCACAGCTCTGCAGTGCCCCCCAATCCTGACCTGCAGTCTCTTGCTGTCCCAGCTGTGCCCTCTCCCCCCAAATCTCTGCCAATGCCCCTGTCCTGGGGGTTGGGGGAGTCCGAGCCGGCTGCCTCTCACCTGTGTGGATGAAGGTGTGTTTCTTCATGTCAGATTTCTGGTGGAAGCGTTTCCCGCAGAAGGGGCAGGGGAAGGGGCGCGTGTCCGAGTGGATGAGCAGGTGTGTGGAGAGCGTGGACGAGCGCTTGAACTGCTTCCCGCAGATCCGGCAGGGGAAGTGCCTCACCTGCAGGGAGACCCATCAGCTGGGGCCTGGGGGGGGGGGGGAGGGGGGGGAGCCCCCCCGAAACCCCCGGCCCCCCCCCTGGGCCCCCCCAAATATCCCCCCCCCTTTTCCCCCCACCCCCATGGCACATTGCCCGCCCCCCCCCAATGTTAGCCCCATGGCTGCCCCCTGCCCAAATGGATGCCCATCCAGGCCCCCAAACCCCTCACTGCTGCAAAAGATCCACCTCTAAACCCCCATCACGTTCCACCCCCCCGCCCCCAGGCCTCACCCACCTCTGGCTTCCCTTTGCCCGGGCCGGGAGGGGCAGGCTGGTGCTGCAGGCTGCCTGGATGTCCACACATCCCCCATGGGGCCATGTGGCTGCAAAGCGTTGAGCATTTCAGGTGGCTGCCTAGGCGCTGGGCTGCAGGGAGGCCCTGCGGGTGGGGAGAGAAATGGGGTCAACATGGGGAGCCTGCCCCAAATGTACGGGCTGGAATTGGTGGTGGCCATGTAGGGCGGGGCTGAGACCTCCCCAAACTCATCACAGCAGTGACTGAACCCACCCTCTGGTGCCTGGACGTTTGCTGGGGCCAGCCTGTGTAACCTGCCTTGTTCTACAGCCACCCTCTCGTGACACTGACCCGGAACCCTCACAATTACCTGCCCCCCGCCCACAAGCCGACACTGGGGAAAGGAGCCGGCCGGGCAGCCCCTGCCAGGGACGGGGCTCGGGGCCAGGTAGCTACCAACCCCTCCACCCAAGCAGGGCGAGTTTCCACTACACAGCATGGCAGCACCTAGCACCCCCTAATGGGATAGGGCCCCCAACACTGAGCCCTGCACAGACTGCGACATGCCCTGGTCACACCCTAAACAGACACAGGGTGGAAGGGTAAACTGAGGCACAGAGAGAACTCACCCAAGCAGATCAGTGAACCCTGGTCCCCAAGTCCCAGTCTGGTGTTTTGTCTACTAGGCCACGCTGCCACTTGTGCCTGCCCCAGAGACCCCATCCCAGCTGTCCCCTCTGCCTACAGACCCCTAGCAACCTGTGGGGTGGGTCAGTGTGGCCACTACAATGCCAGGGGGCCGGGAAATGGCGCTGGGATGATACAGATGCACTGAGAAAGGGGCTCAGACCTGCCCCAAACTCATGACACTCATGGGGGCCACCACAGAGCCAGCAGCTGGGCTCAGCTCACAGCCCCAAGCCAACCCCCTGCGTGCGAGCAGGGCTTTGGCTGTTGGACTCAGTGGGGTCGGAGCTGGCCCTGCTGGAGTGAAAGGCTTGTGCTGCATTTGCTCTGATGGGGCCACAGCTGGGGCCTCACCCCCACCCCACCCCCAGCTGCATCATTGAGCCAAGAGTGCTGGGTAGCGGGCCCCCAATGGGTCGACCCCTGCGCCCCCAGTGACAGTGCCCCATAGGCTGGGCGATACTGCACACAGAGGGCAGGAGCGGCTGGGCAGGTCGGTAAATGCGCCCCAGGGTAGTACCAGAGCCTGGCATATGGGGCAGTGCAGCCCCACACTGGGCAGCACCAGGCTGGGTGTGGGGAGAGGGCTTCACTCAGCTCTGTTTAAAGGTGGGGGCTGGGAATGGGACACGGGGGCCTTTCCTCTCTAGGGGGCGCCATCTCCCATCTTGCCCCAGGGTGGGACTAGCTGGCTCAGGGGGTAGGGAATGGAACATGGGGCCTTTCCCCTCTAGGGGGCGCTGGATCTGATTCCGCCCGAGCTGGAAGTGGCAGGCAGTGGTGCCCACGTGAAGTGAGGTGGGAAGGGTTCTCCAGCCAGTTCCCAGGGGCAGGAGCCTCCAAACAGCCCCATTGCTGGCAGCCCTGAGGGGAGGCCAAGCGCTGGAGGGGGATGGAGCTCCCAGAGCTCGATCACGCAGGGAGGCCTCAGCTCCCAGGGTCAGCAGGGCGAGGGGCGTTACCTTGTCACAGCAGCTGCACCTGTGTGGTGGCTTGGAGAAGAGCAGGAGAGATCCCAGGAGGCCAGAGGTCCCCTCAGTGTCCCTGCCCAGCTCCCTCCCGGAGCCCAGCGCCGGCGGCAGGACACTCTGCACCAGCTGCTGCAGCTCAGGGCTACGGTAGCTGCTCCAGAAGGGCTTGAATGACACGTCTGGGGGGCTGCTCACGCCTATGGGGAAACAGCAAGTGGGGGATTGGGATATGGGGCCTTTCCCCTCCAGGGGGCACCGGCTCCAGCTGGCTCGGGGGCCAGTGATTGGGACATGGGGCCTTTCCCCTCCAGGGGACGCTGGCTCTGGCTGGCTCAGGGGGCCAGTGATTGGGACATGGGGCCTTTCCCCTCCGTGGGGCGCCGGCTCTGATCTGATCTGGCCTGGCCCCAGGGACTGGCTGGCTCAGAGGGTGGGGAATGGGACACGGGTAGTTGCCATTGTGTAAGATGAGGTTGGTGAGTCTCAGTCCAGTTCCCAGTGGGGCAGGTGCCCCCATCACAGAACTGGCCACCTGCTTGCCACTGCCCCCCAGGGGCATAACATAAGAACATAAGAAAGGCCGTACCGGGTCAGACCAAAGGTCCATCTAGCCCAGTATCCTGTCTACCGACAGTGGCCAATGCCTGGTGCCCCAGAGGGAGTGAACCTAACAGGCAATGATCAAGTGATCTCTCTCCTGCCATCCATCTCCACCCTCTGACAAACAGAGGCTAGGGACACCATTCCTTACCCATCCTGGCCAATAGCCATTAATGGACTTAACCTCCATGAATTTATCCAGTTCTCTTTTAAACTCTGTTATAGTCCTAGCCTTCACAACCTCCTCAGGTAAGGAGTTCCACAAGTTGACTGTGCGCTGCGTGAAAAACTTCCTTTTATTTGTTTTAAACCTGCTGCCTATTAATTTAATTTGATGACCCCTAGTTCTTGTATTATGGGAATAAGTAAATAACTTTTCCTTATCCACTTTCTCCACATCACTCATGATTTTATATACCTCTATCATATCCCCCCTTAGTCTCCTCTTTTCCAAGCTGAAGAGTCCTAGCCTCTTTAATCTCTCCTCATATGGGACCCGTTCCAAACCCCTAATCATTTTAGTTGCCCTTTTCTGAACCTTTTCTAGTGCCAGTATATCTTTTTTGAGATGAGGAGACCACATCTGTACGCAGTATTCGAGATGAGGGCGTACCATCGATTTATATAAGGGCAATAATATATTCTCAGTCTTATTCTCTATCCCCTTTTTAATGAT